GGGTGTCCTACTGTTCTCTATCCTAAAGGCCCCTGCAAGTCTATAGAAGCAACATGAATAATAAAAAGGAAACATGCTACGAAACGTAGTAAACAATAAACAGTAACATCGTAAGCATAAACTATATGTATACGCAGTAAAATGCGATAACGATAAGTAAAGAAATGCAGTAAAATGTGCAGTAAAGAAAATAAAATGCTGTAATTATAAAACAAACCTGTATACCTGACAGATCAGCTACTTCTGTAAATGGTGTCGGTGTCGCAGGTGAAAGTAAACTGGTTTAATGGAAAATTTAACAGGTGGCAAGCATGCATTTATTCAAATAGGAATGAATAACAAAAACATCACCTTAAAATCTCGAGGAAAGCTACAAATGACCCATGGTAACTCGAAGAAAATCATTAGAAATATGAAGAAAATATGAAGGTAATCACGAGTGATCTACAAAGACTTGAATAAAACCGTTGAAAAGTACGAAAAATCCGAGGAATTAAAGAAAATCTTAAGCATTCGGGTCGGGGTAGGCTCAGATTTTAGTTATTTTCGAGGAACTTCGAAGACAACCATTGGTCATCCGCATGTAAAGAGCCCAACATTCAACTAGAACTTTCCAACTATATAATCTTAGGAGGGCAATCCTTAGCTCAGTACATGTAATTGACGAGTCGACAATCATATTATATTACTTCAACTTTATATTTTAGCATGCATATATGCTTCATGCATATAAGCAAAATTTATATTATATCTATTCTAGTATTCAAAATATTTTGTGAATAGCGTATTTGTTCTTATCGTTGTACTTTTAAAAAAATTGATTGTCCACAAGTCGGTCACATTGTCGGGCTAGGACCGCCAACAGTCTAAGAAGACAAGGGTCCCCGCTAGTCTAGTGTTGGTGAATAATATTGTCATCATACATTTTCATCGGGTTTCTAGGTCGGGTCCCGATGTCGTAAAATGCGATATTATCCCGCTCTACCGACGAATGTCTTTGTCATCAAGGCCTTAAACACCGAAAAAGCTCGTCCAACTTACGACATTGCTTGATGATTCATATATAACCACAACTATATATGCATGTTTCAGATATAAACACGTAAACCAAACCAAGAAGTAAGGAAAAAAAATCGAAAAGAAATGAAAAAATTTAAAAGAAATAAATAAGAAAAAAAAAGACTAACCCAAAACACGACCCCTCCTCCAAAGCTAGTAGGTGGGAGGGTCAGCCTCAAATATTCACTCAATAGAACACCTCAAATGAATAACAAAATGAGCACACTCATCAATAGCTCGCTCTCTTTTCTAAACTACCGGTGTAACAATCCGAAAGATGTGTATCGAAAGGCTTCAATTGCTATCTCAAAACATTCCTAAAGACACATTTTAGAGGATTCCAAGTTGCTCCCAATTCAATCCAAACCTGCTCAAAAGTTGCACTTCGAAAGGGGCCCAAATTGCAACTAAACTCTCCCAACAAATATCAAAATGGCCTTGCATTGCAGTCAATTCAGCCCAAGGAGCTGGGCATTTCAATCTTCCTAAAATATCAAACAAATGGATATACCATCTAACTCTTTCTCACAAGCAGGAAAGGTAGCTAGTAAAGGGGCAGCAGGGAGGCAAATCCCCAACAGAACACAAGAAACCACCCACCAACAAGTTTCAGGTAAGATAGCAGGGGAAACAACCAATCCTACATAAAGGAAGCCTCAAATAGTAGGTCTCGAGTAAAGGCAGCAAAAGGAATCACCAAAACCGACAGAACAGGGCCCAAACAACTAATCTCGGGTAGGAGCAACAAAAGCACCACCAAAACCAACAATAATGATTTCAAAAAGATCCAACTGGGGAAAACAATTCAAGCTAACACAGGAAAGCACTAGCTAGGGTCTCGAATAGAGCTCTCGGGTAGGGGCAACAAAAGCATCACTAAAATTAACACAAGAGAGCCCACATAGTTGCTCTCGGGTAGAGGCAGCAAGGCAACAACCTACACCAACAGAAAAGAAACTATAATGCAGATTTCAGGTAGGAGCTGCGAAAGGAACCACCAAAACCAACAGAACAAGGCCTAAACAGCTAATCTCGGGTAGGGGCAGCAAAAGGAAACAAACCACACCAGTAGGGAATACCAGCAACTAATCTTGGGTAGCCAAGCCCCAATAAAAAAGTGTTGAGTTTTATAACCATGTCAAAACCTTTTCGTAAAACTAGAGTCAGGGAATCTACAAAACCAAACCAAGCCAACTCCATGAACGGAACCCGCCAGCTCCATAAAACTGAACCAAATGAGCCCATAAAGCCGAGACCACAAGGCTCCACAAAATCAAACCAAATCAACTCAAAATCTCACAGCCAAACGAGTCCAAAACATTGCACACATGTAGCTCAAGAGCCATCAAATAGGCCCAGGTAATGCAGCCTAAGGGTAAAGCTAGCAGGGAATGAATCGACAAAGAAAACACCAAATATATTGAGCTGAAACACCATTTGGACTTCACATAAACTAAAGAAAGTGGATGGCATAAATGCACAGGTATAATAAGAACAAAGGAAAGAAGTCTTCACATGCATAATACTTGAATCATTGCCACTTATAGCTGAGCAAGAAGAATGAAGTAATTAAATCGGACTCAACAGAAATGCTAAAGGTCTAAACTTCCACAACTGATAACAATTTCAAAATGAGATTCTAGGTAATCATAGCAACTGATAACAATTTCAAAATGAGATTCTAGGTAAGGCAACCAAGCTCATACATATATATATATTCTTTTTTTTTTCTTTTCTAATCTTGAAGTAACGAAAGAAGAAAAAGAAAAAAAGCTTGCTCAAGATTTTTATCACCTCGAACTTGTTCAACCTCTGTTAAGCAGAAAAGTAGAGCAGAAATGAGAGAAATTACCTTGCTCTAGCTTTTGAAAGAAACAAAAGGGAAGCCACAAAACTCCCAAACACCAAACCCTCGAGCACCAAGTCCTAGCCGAGCAGAGATTTCGGCAGAACCTCCCCTAGACTCAAAATTTCCGTCACCCCTTACCTGACCTCCCCCCATGGGGTTTTATACCCGAAGAAGAAGAACAGGAGGGAGAAGAAGAGGGAGCGTAGTCGTATCATCGATAGATGACGGGACATCGCAGGGCCTAGCTAACACAGGCGTAGAAGGCTCGGGTAACTGTAAACATACCGCAAATGGGAACTACGAAGTGAATCGACATACAGTCGCGAGGGTCAAAGGGATGAATGCTTCAAACGCAGAGGGAGAAGAATCTTCGTGCAGAGCGAACAAGGAGTCACCTCGACATGGCTTGGAGGGAACGCTAGGGCAGGTGACCAAAACCGCGGGCTTGTGGCGTGCGTGTGTTTAGGTTAAATAGGATTAACGTTTTATATTATTACCCTTATATATATATGCACACTTATTAGAGGTAGAGGCAAAGGAAAACTAGCTACCTGATACTACATTTTTTTGGCATTTTTTGTTTTTTTTATTTAGGTCTCTTGTATTTTTCTGTATTTTCTCTTTTTTTGGAATCTTTTGTATATGATGATTAT